CAGTGGATAACAAAGGCCCTGAAGCTCCAGTGAGCTCTGAATTTCTTCAATTTGCAAAATACTAAAATTGTCCTTTCAGTATCTCCACAAATAAGACTTTATATTTTTCCCATCTATAGATGATTTTACAGCCATTCACTACAACTATCTACATTTGTAGATGCAACCATTGTACTTTTATAACCTCCCCGTATACTACATTAAAGTGCTAATGTACTTACAATCTTTTGTGTGGATAACCATATTTACAATATTAAGGATTATTATAGAGAATTAGAAATAACGATCAAAGTTTATTGCCTTTTTGATAATATTCTTTTAAAAGCTAACTGTTTTAAGTTTCAAGTAGATCAACACATAGATTTACAGATTTTTATAGTAAAACAAAATAAGACTTCATAAGTCCTGGAATATTATTGAAGATTTCTTTAAAATTGACTAATGTAAATTGACTTACTACTGTTATAAAAGTGAGGAGCTAAGCTTCAAAATTTAGTTATTAGTATTCTTAGCATTTTAACATGACAATGAAAGAATCATATAATCCAAGGATTTCCACACCTAGCTTTCTTTCTAGAATTGTATATGAATGAAGGAGTCTACACTCGCTGTTTCCCCAGTGATGCAAATTAATATTTCTCCCACATTCGGTTTTAACATGCAAAAATCATGCACATTATAGTTTGCATGTTGAAGCTGTTCAGGTTACCTAGAATTTCTTGAAAATTATTGTATAATGTAATTTAATGCCTGAATGAAGTGACAGTTTCCATGTTGGACGAATAAATTCACAAATCTTCATTCATTACATCTTAAGAAGTTATTCATTTATTGTACTTCAGTGAATGAAGGCTATCCCTCCTCTCCCCCCAAAATATGCCAGAATTACAAAAGGTTTGAATTTCACTGTAAGGGCCCAAATACACCAAACATTTCCACATAATGCTTGAATTAAAGCTAAGCAAGCTTAAGGAGACCAACAGCCTTCATTAAAAAGCTTATTTAAAAAGCACAACCAGGGGAGCGGGGAGTATGTGTACAGGGAGGGTGATTGGTGGGATCACGCCTATGGTTCATCCTACATAGGTACATGTGAATCTCTTTAAATGTAGAATATAAATGTCTTAACACAATAACTAAGAAAATGACATGAAGGCTATGTTAACCAGTTGGATGAAGGTATTTCAAATTATGTATGGAAACAGCACACTGAACCCCATGATAGTATTAATGTACACAGCTATGACTTAAAAAAAAAAAAAAAGAAAAAGAAAAAGAAAACAAAATAAAAAGCACAACCAAGTGGGACAGTGCCTGTGGCTCAAGGAGTAGGGTGCTGGCCCCATATACCAGAAGTGGTAGGTTTAAACCTAGCCCCAGCCAAAAGCTGCAAAAACAAACAAACAAACAAACAAACAAAAAAAACCCACAACCAAGTCAGGTACAGTGGCCTGTAATCCCCACACTTTGGGAGCCCAAGATGAGAGTATCACTTGATCCCAAGAGTTCCAGACCAATCTAGGCAACACAGTGAGACGCCCTAATTAAAAAAAAAAAAAAAAAAAAAAAAAATCAAAAAAAAGTGGCACTAACCTGCAGTGCAGCTACTCTGAAGGGTGAGGGGGTTGGATGGATTGAGTCCAGAAGATCAGGGTTACAGTGAGCTATGATTATGTCACTGCACTTCAGCCTAAGCAACTGAGGGAAAGTGTATCCTAAAAATATAAAAAACGCAACCAATGGATTTGTTATTTATTTTCTTCTGAAACTTAAAATCACATTTCCTTATGGGAAGGATACAACTACAACTTAGGCTTTACCTTATAAATGCAAACAATGTAACCTCCTTGTATACTCTCATACTAATCGGAAATAAGAAAAGGAAAACCTTAAGGATTTGTATACAGATAACTAAATCTTACAATATGATATGTGATTTTCTAAAATAGTAAACAATATAGTCAATACACTGTAACAAATGTGTTTAAACTTATATTCTATACAAATACCATCAAGTAGGACTCATCAGCAATAGAAATTATTAGCGCTCAAAGAAGATTGTTATTCTTAAATGGAAAAATTAATACTCCAATGTTACACTTGCACTAACTTTCTTGAGTCAGTTTTTTAAAGCTATAACTCATAATTCTACCATCTTTTCTGATTGGCAGGGGAAGTCTTTATATCTTTGTGACTTTCTGTGAAATGCTACGCAGACTCATTTAAATGTCTGAATATTAGAACAGTGGTTCCAAGCTATGGCTGCTCCTTAGATCTACTAATAAAAGTTTTAAAATATATTGTATTCTAAATATATTCTAAAACAGGTCCCAAACCTCAGAGATTCTAATTAAATTAGCCTTAAAAGCTTTCCAGATTATTTTGAAGTAAAGCTACATTTGAAAACCACTAACTTGAAGAATTTGGGAATGAGGAAACTGTTTTGCTCATAGTCCACTGAAAGAGATTTCCAGGAGAGGGGATAGTAGAACTGTAACATATTTAGCCATCCTCAGGCAAGATATTTATTAAGCCAGGACTAGATCAGTTAATGTTTTGAAGTATCTGCCAGTTCTCTCATACTAAGGTACTATAGTGTTCTTTCCATGTTAAATGGTTATTTCACAATTTTTTATTGATATATAGTGACTCATCAATTTTTAAATTATCCCTTTAAATAACATAACAGAAGCAAGCTGTTACATCCTTCCTTAAATTCATTACACAGATATAGTATCTGTATCAATAAAGAATAGTCCATGAAATTCCATCAAAACTCTTTAAAAAGCCAAATGACTTTAAGGCCAACATTAATGTAATCAATATTTCATCTGTTTGTACTAATGGAAAAAAAAAAGATAAAGGGATGATCAAAATGAGGAGGAATTAATCGGTGATAGCTTCTCAGATGTACTGGTTTGTTCCAGATTCAAAAGGAAGTGATGAAATTCAAGTCAACAAAGAGGTTCTCTGTAAATTGCTGTATTGTAGAAAATACAGAGCACTCACCCTCAAGGCACTGATATCTAATTTAGAACTAGTCCACCTAACTCTAATATAAAAGTAGCAAGTACAGTGAGAGCATAGAAGATGGATGGGTATATCCCATTTTAAAGGACTGAAACATCACTTTGTGGCCAAAGGAACTTGAACCAGCCCTTGAGTTAGTCAAGGAGAGTGGTTGGGAGCATGAATATAAGCTTTCCAAAGAGAAATATTAAGTAACAATATGGCAACACACCATTTAGGAGAATATTCAGGAAAAAAAAAAAGGGACAGTGTGAATGTTAAAAGAGTATTTCAGAGAAGTGAGAATGTATAATTGTGTTTAGAGGAACAATAACCCAGTTCACCAGGCTAGAGAGAGGGGCTTAAGTAAGAGAATAAGAAAAGAGGTTTGCCAAACAGAGTTAAGACTCTGAGAGGTTGCTTTATAGGTTTGGCATCCACACATCCAACGTTCCCAAAGGATTCCAATTATAACTGAAACAATATTAGGCCATTTAATATCTCACCTTAAGTAGGTTGAATGTGTTAACAAATCATCAGTCTGCAATGAGGGCAGATTGATATAAATTAATCATTAGAAGAGAAGATACCACCAGGATCAGGATGTTGTATCAAGGAATAAGCTGGTAGAAAATCCTTTCACTGGAGACAGGGAGGCTGTCATTTAGGACTTCCTCAGCCCTTTCCACGGAAGAGCAACCAACTTCCTCATTCTGAATTTATCTGCATAGATTATTGAGCTACTCAATGAAATAGTTTGACCAAATGTTTCACAGGAGCATTTTTATTTGTTTTATTTAATTATTTTCTGTTTTTTTTTTTTTAAAATTTCAAGATCTCTATCCTGGTAGAGAAGAATTTCTGTCTTTAGAAAGGATTTCAAGATCCTTTCTCTATCCTGATTGCCTAAAAAATACACTAGAGACTGAAAAAAAAATCACTGTATAAAAGGTAATTAGCACGTTCTCTCCTTTTTATAACTTTATAATTGAAATCTCATTAAAAGCTTTCTAGGTCTCCGTCTCCCTAAGTGACCAGGTGTCCCTAATTTGTTTTAACCAATGTGACTAATTGCAGAGAAAGACGAGAAAAAGTCTGATACCTGTTGGAGAACAGCAAGGTTAAATAAGTGGGGTGGCTTTTTTAAGGTTGCTTTTAACCTCGTAATAGAAAAAAATGGGGGGGGGTGTCAATGTCTTTTTCCTACGGTCCTGCCTGTCTCTCTCTCAGTCCCAGGCGAAGATTCCAAGGGAAATGAGAGCACTATTTTGTTTCTCCCTTGTATTGCAGATAGGGGGAGGAGGTGGTTATTAGAGAGGAGCTCTTCCTCTCTCGGTTTCCCCCTCTCTCCGCCTGACAGCACCGCTCTCTCACGGGCTCGCTCCTTCTCCTAGGTGATCCATTTCTAGGCAACGTGGGGCTGGTGCCGAAGCTGCCAGGCTCGCTCCTCGCTTCCCGCATCCCGCAGGCGAACCGCTCCCCGAGCATCCTGCAGCCCGCGGCGGCTTCCCGGCTCCGGCCCGGCCCCGCTGCTCGCGCCCGGCGCAACTCCCCCGCCACCGCGCCCGAGCGACGCCTCCCGGGCCCGCCGCGCCGAGCTCCGCTGCCCGCCTCGGCAGAAAGGGGATTTTCTCTGCATTACTATCTGCATTACCTTGAAGTTCACTTTTCCTACCCCTCTCGGAGAGGGCTTCTTCCCCCTCCCCGCTGGAATCTGGCTGCTCCGCTTGGAATCTCCTAACCGTTCCCTTCCACTTAGATTTTGCAGCGAAGCCAAGTGATTCTCTGCGGGCCACGGGGCGGGGGCGGGGGTCTCGCGGGTGGGGGAGGGCGCGGGAGGGGGCACATCCGGCGTGGGGGGGACTTGGAAGTTGCGGCGGAGCTGGGACCGGAGACCCGCGGCCCCGCGCAGCGATGGAGATGGTCTGAGCTCCAGCCTCTCCCCCTGCCCGAGAGCCGCCGAGGCTGGATACATTTTTCAAAAGCCAAACTGCAAACAACTCTGGCGATGCCAAAATTCCCCTCCAAGTGACACGGCTTTGCGAAGGAGGTTTCCTCAAGCTGGGCGCTCTCTGTCATTCCCTCTGCCTTCCTTGGCGACGATAGAAAGGCTTCGCTCTGGCTGGAGGAATTCAGGAAAAAGGCTAAAAAGCTGCGCTAAACTCTATCGTGACCTTAAACTCTTTGGACTATTTTTTAAAATAAACATCGGAAGAACACCCATCCTCGGAGAGAATCGGTCTGGGAGGAGATGGAAGTTTTCCCCGTGCTCTTGGTTTTGTCCGTCTGGTGGTCTCGAACCTGGGACGCGGCCAATGCGGATTCGATCATTCACATCGGTAAGAAAGGGCTGGTGCTGCTCTCGGATACTTTGAACGTTTCCCTTCGCAAACGTTCCCTCTTGGCTTTCCCCTCAGCTCCCCGTGTGTGGCTGCTCCGAGGTGGCTTCAGTCCACTGCCCCTTCCCGCTACCCTCTCCCCACACTTGTTCGTTTCTGGGAGGATGTGGGTTGTCGAGCC